CAGCGTTGGCACTGGTCTCCGCCAAGGCTGCGTTCTGTCCCCTCTCCTGTTTGTATTGTACATGGACAAAATATTCAGGACCAGCCAGGAAGATGAGTGCATAAGTGTAAGAGATGTGGAGACGAAGGTTGTTGTTAGCAGATGAGTTTGTTTTATCGGCATCTTTTGAAACTGATCTACACTGCTCCTTGGAAAGGTTCGCAGCCGAGTGTGACGTGACGTCATGCGTGTGAACGCATCTAAAACGAAAAGCCTAGTGCTCATTCTACCTCCTGCCGTTAATCTCTTCAGATAAGCATAGAAGTAGTGGAGAAGTTGAAGTACCTCAGAGTAGTCATGGAAAGGGAATTGAGAAGAGGAAGAGCGCGACCGCCGGAATGGAGTAGCCAGCGGCGTTCTGTTTGAACTAGCATTAATACTGTTATACCAACGTATTAGCATATATACGGTAGTTGTATCATTACTTTTTAGCATAACTTATACAGTGCGAAGTAAGAAGATATGGTTATAGGTTATATACCGCTATATTTATGAGGTAATCATCTCGGAAAATTACTTTATACAGCACTGTTAAAATCTATCATAAAAAGCAGCACTGTTACGTCGAAAGCTGTCATCTGGTAATGCCTTTAGCGTGTTTCAGTCTCTCAATGAAATGTACCCGCCTATTCATTCTATACTGAAGATGATTTACTTCTGGCTTGTGCAGAAGATTCAACTTATGGCTGATTTCAAAAGCATCCTTTCTACAAAAGGAACAATAATTTGAGGACTATTGTCAAGTTTTTACAATCTTACTGTTCCATACGGTTGAGAATTATGGGAAGATTCAATGGAAAGTAAAATTTCGCTATTTTTTATGTCCCTTCTTGCTTTTACTCTTGTACCCTTATTGTAGCAATAGGGTTGGTCAGTCAGTAGAGCGTCTGACAAAGGGGTTCAGGGTTCGATCCCCTGTCGGGGTCACTCGACTTTTTTCTTTCCGAGGTTGATAAACGAGTAACACCTTGTGGGTAAAACAAAACTACACTCTGCTTGGTAGCTGCTGCAGACTCAATCTTTACGCTATGGCACTCCTGGATTATGGCATAGAAACAGGGATCTCGTCACTAGTGTTTGAAGAGATGGTGCACCAGAAATAGCACCGCCATAAAAGTGTGAGGAAGATCTTCCAACGGTTGCAAGCTGTCCTTTACTTCATTACTTCTTGCTACTTACTGTAACCCTAACGACGATGCCAGTAAGCTGCCTGTAATGTGGACGTTGGAGAAATTAAAAGGAGTTTAATATTGTCCTTTGTTCTATTCTTCGCCCCAAATCATGATTCGAAAAAAAACCTGCATAGCAAAGGTATATTTATTTATTTGGTATAAGAAAGTAACTGCAACTGATGCTACCGAGACATGCATTTAGAGAAATGAGAATATTTTACTTCGATGGGGGATGTCGCTTGGATTCGCAGCCAAAGTACC